TGGACTAGTATTCTTCTGAGGAGTAAATATCATCTCCTTGTCATGAATTGCATGCAATAGATCTGAGAAAAAAATTAATCAGTGATCAAATAAAATGATTAAAACCATGGATGCGTTTGGTGCGTGTAGTCCTTCCAGCAAGCTGGCCGTTGCTTGCAAAAGTTCGTTCCACTTTCGTGTTATTTGCCTTCCTGCATATACCAAAGTACTACACGCCTTCGTATTGAAGCAGTAGAAGCAAAAGAAGTTTCTCTTTTCCTTCAGCTATCCTTGCGAAGTGGCCGTTCAGAGAAGAAGCAGCATGCAGTGTCGGTTATGGCAAAAGTCAACCGGCCGTCGTTTGTCCGATGGGATGCAACGAAACCATCAAGGCGACACATAGTCACGTACAGGCAGCGGTAGGATGGCAAGCTTGTCCACGTCTTCGGTTGTCAACAGGCCGCCGAACGCAGCGGAATTTCCTGGCCAGGACCTCAAGCCAGTGATGCAGTCGGGTCGCGTCGGACGCATCTGAGCGACACTGACACGGAGCAGCGAACCCAACGACGCGAAGGTCTAGTGGCGACCTGGTGGCGAACTCGTCGATGCGGAGGTCACCGGCGGTAGTCCAGCTCGACTCGGCGCGGAACAACACGGAGTCGACGGAGTGGACTTGGAGCGGCGGCTCCGAGAACCCAATCAAGAAAAAAAATCTTACGATTCACAAAGAGAGTTAATTTCCTACACAGGGAGAATCTTGCATGGTGTGCCTCGTATATGGGTTGGGTGCATGATTGAGCCACGCACTAGCAGACGATGTGAACTTTGCTTTGACTATTCTGGATCATACGAAGCCTCCAACAACTTGGTGTAATCAGCATGGCGCGAGCGCAAGCTGGCTAGCAGCGCCCGATCGGCGTCAGCCCTAGAGTCGTGCGATGAGGAGGATCCCGAGCGATCTGGAGGAGCAGAGTTTGATCCGGTGGCAGAGTTCGGTCCTGGTGGACCGACTAGGATCACGGCGGCGGCGTGACCTAAACCTTGCTCAACATACCAATATAAGAAATTTAGGGTTTTAGTCTACTCTCTATTTCTCTGCGCTTATCCGTGGTGTCGCTCACAAATCGCATATCTGAGGCTAGGGGGTAGGGACCTTCTTATATTGTTTTTTCAAAGAGTCCACCTCTTATACAGATATAAGATTTCTAATTTTTTTTCCACTAGTTTTCGGGATAGAGTCCAGATCAAATTACCAACCACGATCATATTTGTCTGTTAACGGATTCTACCCGTTATGTCCCTGGAGCACGCGCTTGTCAGCAACGCGCCATAATAGAGTGTAAATTCATCTAATTATGTAGATCTACATTAGGGCTGTAATCTAACTATACGATCTAGCTCCTTCCAATCATCAGTGTATCCGATAGTCTTTCCAATATAACTACTATATTGTATTCCACTGATAATCGACCAGCTTCCTTAAGCATACAACTTAAGTACATTCCAGCAAGTAACAATTCCATGATAAACATGTAAAGCAATTCCATGTATAAAAACATGTATAATTCCATAATGAGGTATTCCAAATATTAACAATTTCAAGTCATTTGAGTATAGTTGCAGGACACATAATTCCAACATCTCCCACTTGTCCAAAACGATCGTTCAAATATACGTAACCCCATAGTCTTAACATGCTTACCAAATACCTCATGACTAATAGGCTTAGTCAAGGGTCAGCAACCAGGGTAACACTATGTTGAAAATCCAAAGAAATATATAGTGATACCTTCCCTCAGTATGTTTCCTTGCTGTGACTCTTAAGATCACTAGAGACATTTAGTTTTCGCCTAATTATTCCAGCATAGCTGTCCTCGGCGCCTCGAGTATTATTTCCTCGAGTGTAATTCCGCCTTTATAGGCACCTCGATTATTTTGTTTCTCAAGTGAAATTCCGCATCAATTGTTTTCCATCACATATATCAATAATATGATTAATTCCACATTGAGTCAAATATATGATAACCATGTAGAATAAAATTTCCAAAACCACATAATATCAAATCCAATCAGTAAATGAAACTCCATAAGCAACCATGTTTTGAAAGAAATTCCTGACTTCGGTCAGTGAACCTGCACCATATTAATACTTCACAAAAAAAAGGATATGCGTACCTGGACTTATTTCTCATCTCGTAGATACAATAATAGCTTCCTCAGTGTGTTTATCTTTAATATAAATTTCAAAACAAGTGACAGGTTGTGATGCACTTTCCACAATCTTATATGATGTGTGAGATTCCCTTAGATACTCGTCTTTCCTTCCACTGCTTGAATGAAGCATAAATTCCGAAAGCTAAGTTATGATAACATAATGAAGATACATACGAGTTCCAATATCATTTATTATTTCACTTTTCTCATTAGTTTAAATATAATTCCTCACTGAGTATGATTCCCTTTATCAAAGGTATTTAACAGATTTGCAATTTTCCATAGAGAAACATTTCAAAATATTTTTTATGTATTTCCAATCATAAAACATAGGATGTTTAAAATGTTTCTTGCATATGAAAGTTAAAAGATAACCAAGCTTTCACTTTCATCAATATGACGGCGCATGGTAATCAAACCGGATCCTCAGCTCAATACGTAGGAGCATCGGTGTTAATTGCACTGCTCTGAATATCTGACGGTGGTTTTCTTGATGTTGTTGTGAGTGAAGGTTGTTCAACTACAAGATCGGCATCCACCTGCTGCAGTCGAAGCATCCCGAGAGCTTACCGGCGAAGAAGGAGATCAACCCCAAGGATAACCACATCTCCTTCCAGGTACGTTGTGCGTAGTTAATTTCGATTTGGTTGCGAACACTGCTGCTATGGCTGAGATGGCTAGGATACATCGTCCAGGACTGAAAGATGGTAACGGTTGCCTTCCTTCTTTTTCTTGAACATAAGGCTCACATACACTCTCTCTACAAACGCGCACACACCAGCATCCCTACCCTTGTAAGTAGACACGGGACCAGTACAACATTTTGAGGTTGGCGAAGTCATCACAGGTGTCTCGTGATCGACGGGGCGTCTCCTCCCATTGAACAAATTTGTAACGGTCCTCTTTTTATTGAGAGGAAGGAATTAACTTGCTTGGTGCGTAGGCGAGATAGGTTAGGTTCTCCGTCGTCGTTAGCTGCTCCTTTCTATGCCCGTCACGTTTTATCCAACCCTTGTTGGCACATGCGAGGGTTGCTTTCAGCACACGTGATACAACGTTATGCGGAAGGAACTTGCTCGTCGCGACCCTTAGCCAGACCTCAAAATTAAAACAAGCCAATGATTAGACGAGATACAGTATGTCTTGTAACGAAGGGCGCCAGACCCTGGGGCAGAGGCAGACAACAAACATGGCAGGATGCATGTGTTACACTTACACAGCCGGCAAATTGTGTTCACGTGCACGTCAAAGTGGGTGTGACTGTGCGTCCAGTACTTGCACGTCACATGTTCATACAATGCGGTTTTATTATCCCACGGTACATACATGCACTTACCGGGTCGCTGTCCACGGTGACAAAGCTAGATAGGCATGAAGAAATGGGCGTAGAAAGTGGGCATTCAATCGTTCGGTGGTACCCATGCTGCGTATAGGAACCGTGAACTGGTTGGCCACGTTGCAACACAAAGTTCCTCGGATCCGTGTTCCGTGGAAAGGCTATGTATGCCTACCCAGGAAAGGCTGCCCAACATTTCTCGAACGATAGGTGCAATTTGAGTTAGGCAAAATTATTCTCTCTCTATTTTTGAGGTTGGGCAAAATTATTTTTTTGTTGCGAAAGTGATACAGATCTATTATCAAAGTTCAGTGAAAATGATTAAAACATAAATGATTAAAGTTCAGTGAAAGTACAAAGTTTGGTGTTCCAAGATGTTGCAGCATGCGTATGTGGTCTAGATTCAGAACCACCAAAAAACCTATAGCCTCAAGAGGGTTGCTTGTGGAACTCTCTAGAACGCACGTATGCATTGCATGTCCCCCGTGGCCAAAAGCAGTTCGGTCATCTCCATCACCAACAGAGCAGGGGGTTGCTTTTCCCACAAACAAAGCCACATGGATGATACTCCACAGCTTGGTCCCATCAGCAAGACAGCTCTCCCTCCCTCCCTCTCTCTCAGGGTATTAGGGTGTGACGAAAGGGACGTCGGACAGCCCGCATGTTGTTCGGCAGTAACAGTGCCGTTATGTGCCATCGATCGGTTCTTTGGATCAATCATGGCATGGGCGACAGCTCATTTTACTACATCGGTGGCCGACAAGGACGGGTCGGGCTGGTGTGCGCGGCGCATAGATCTTTAATTTCACGCGTTGGTTTCTTGTTCCGTCGTGTTGCACTGGTTCTCTGGCATGCACGATGGATACCAGGTCTAGTCACCGCTCACCACATAGAAACGAGTTGCATGCTGAGTCACGATGTCTCGCTAGCTCAAGAATGTGGAAGTCCACTTCTGAGATCAATTGAGGCGTCCTCTTAGTCGCCGGGCGGCTGGACGTGGGGGAAACAGCGGCGGGGAACCAGCTTGCTCCCCGGCGGTAAAACGGCGGCGGCGGGCGACTGGGGGTAGGGGCGGCGTTGCTGGGCGGATGTGGAGGCGGCGGTAGCTGAAAGAGTCGCCGGCGAAATAGGCGGCGCCGTCGCGGGAGGAGACAAGGGCGAGGGTTGCTTGTTGGCTGGGGGGAGGGAAGGCCAATGTGCCCCCGACGAGCGGGCCCAGGACAGGAGTAGGCGAGCAAGCGCACGTTCGTCGCGTGTCCGCGCCGACGCAAATCAGGCTTAAAAATGGACTGAGAATGGATCGCCCGCGGACGAAAAACGGACGCGCGTCCATTTAGGCCGCCTTTTCTGTTCGCGCCGACCCAAACAGACGGTCACGGACGAAATGGGTCGTCCCATTGAAGTTGCTCTAACAAAAACATTCTGGGACTAATGGCCGAGCAAAATGCGTGTTTGTTTGTAGTGCGAGAGCATGGTGGCGGTGGAGCGGCGGCTCAAGGAGCTGGGCATCCCGTACATCCAGCGGTGCGTGGAGGAGGGCGGCATCTACGTGGACCAGATCTTCTTCCACGACCCCGACGGCTTCATGATCGAGATCTGCAACTGCGACAACCTCCCGATCGTCCCGCTCGCCGACCAGACCTTCGCAATGGCCGCCTGCAAGAGGGCCGCCTCCGTCAAGCAACAGCAGGTGCCCATGCCAGTCGCACAAGTAGCGCAAGCAACCCCTGCTCCGACGGTGGCCGCGGCTTCGCAGTGCATTCCGGCGCTGAACCCGGCCTTGCAGCGCGTCGGCGGCGAGGAGGCGGCGCATATCTCGTGCGCGTGAGAGGTGGGAGGCCGGGGTAGCCAGGCCGCCCAACTGGTGGCGCGCTCCGTGGAGTCGTGGTTTTTGTATATTGTGATATAACAGTGTGCGTATGAATAAAGTGCGGGGAGCAGTGTAGTTCCAGCTTCAAATCGGCGTCTCTCACCCTGTGCATTCGGTTTATTCGGTTTGCATGGTCTGATTTATACAGTTTTTCAGTTTGTACGGTATTGATATTTCGGTAAATATGATATGAAATTAAAATACGGTTCGGTTTCGGTATATACCAAATTATTTCGGTATGGTTTCGGTATATACCATAAAAAACCAAAGTTGACGCAAATTTGGAAATGACGTAATAATAATTAGCAAATTTATGACTCAAAACACATACTATTCTACACAAATAGTATATGACTATATATATAAATATATATGCATGCATTGATTCATCTGTTGATGGTTATGGACGTGCTTAGCATTTTAAAAATAGAAAAATGACTATGTTACAAGAAAAAATTACGTGCTTAGTAGTGCATTTGACTCATGTACAAGAAAAATGACAACTTGTATGGTTGTTCATCTCAAGAAATATAAATTTATTTTTTACTTCGATTTATTCGGTTAACCGTTCGGTTTTCCGGTATATACCATAAAAACCAAGTTCAAATTGGTATGAAAAGTTCATACCATACCGAAACTAGAAACCATAAAATTGGTTCGATTCAGTTTATTTTCGGTATGGTTTTTCGGTTTGGTTTTTAAATGCACAGAGTGATGCGTCTCGGAGCGGATGAGCCCTCTGTTTGCTATGTTTTTGCTCGTCATCCTTTGAACTACTAGTAGTACTCCCTTCATCCTAAATTTTTTATATATTTTTCTTCGAGCAAAACCTAATTTTTTTTCTTTAGAATCACCTTTTTTTAGCGAAAAACACCCGAGCCTTTTTTTTGCGATGAAAAGTAGGGTATTTGTTCCAGATTCACAGGATTACAATCGGCAGCGACTAGTTCAGCAATACAAGGGGCCGGTTGGTTAAGCCAACACGCAGTGCTATTCGCGCTACGTCTAAAATTCGCTAAACAATCTGCAACCCTGTTTTGTTCATGAGAGATTTTTACAGGAGTAACTACCCTATCTCTCAAAAGAACTTTTATCTCCACAATCAAATGGCCATATTTATTCATCAAATGGGAACATTCACATAGCCCGGGGGCTCCAAAAGGCATACATGACAGCCTTGCAGAAAATGTAAAGAGTTCTTAGCAATGTTATGAGCATCGACATTGTCTACTCTCCTCCGAAATTTAAACTTAAAATCTCCTAGTACAACACTCAAACTCACAACCTCCCTAGTGATCATGGAATTCCCGCCTCTGCTCCCTTTCTCCATAGCACGTACAACATCCATGCAACCTCATGCTACATGTGCACACTGTGTGAAACAATATGGAAAGCGTTAAACCCTTTGTCTCGGGCCGCATTGTATATATTAGGCAAAAGCCTTGGCGTACAAGTTGCAGGAAAGATCGATCAAAGATCCTTACAAAGAGAAAAACGAGAGGGATGCGAGAGAAGAACAAATAAAGAAAGGTTACACGTTTAAACATGCTCCTAACCCTATAAGGTTTATTCTAACACCCCCCCTTAATCTAAACCTCAAAAAACTTTGCCAAGGTTGAGATTGTACTTAAACTCATCCAACCTTCTCATGGCAAGAAGTTTCGTAAATTCATCCGCAGAGTTGATCTCCTGTAGGAATAAACTGAATCTCAAGCGACTTCCAAGCTACTCTTTCTCTGACAAAATGAAAATCAACCTCAATGTCTTTTGTCCGTAAATGGAAAACAGGATTGACCGAGAGATAGGTTGCACCAATATTGTCACACCATAGTCTTGCAGCCTGTGGAGCCTTAATTCCAAGCTCATAGAGCAATGTCTGTATCCATATTACTTCAGTTGTAGCATTTGCCAAGGCTTTGTACTGATAAGCCACAAGTATAGGGGATCGCAATAGTTTTCGAGGGTAGAATATTCAACCCAAATTTATAGATTCGACACAAGGGGAGTCAAAGAATATTTGCAAGTATTAGTAGCTGAGTTGTCAATTCAACCACACCTGGAGATTAATTATCTGCAGCAACGTGATCAGTAGCAAAGTAATATGATAGTTTTGATAGTAGTGACAACAACAATGTTAACGGTAATAGTGATAGCAATAGTTTTGTAGCAAGTGCAACAATAACCATAGCAATAGTAACTTAGCAAGAATACTATAAGATAAATTCGCAGGCATTGGATCGGTAATTTGTTGGATGATATTCATCATGTGACCGTCATAACCTAGGGCGATACGGCACTAGCTCCAGTTCATAAATATAATATAGGCATGTATTTCGTAAATAGTCATACGTGCTTATGGAAAGAACTTGCATGACATCTTTTGTCCTACCCTCCCGTGGTAGCGGGGTCCAAATGAAAACTAAGGGATATTAAGGCCCCCTTTTAATAGAGAACCAAAACAAAGCATTAACACATGGTGAATACATGAACTCCTCAAACTACGGTCATCACCAGGAGTGGTCCCGACTATTGTTACTCCGGGGTTGCCGGATCATAACACGTAGTAGGTGACTATAACTTGCAAGATCGAATTTAGAACATGGATATAATGGTGATAACATAAATGGTTGAGATCTGAAATCATGGCACCCGTGCCCAAAGTGACAAGCATTAAGCATGGCAAAGTCATAGCAACATCAATCTCAGAACATAGTGGATACTAGGGATCAAGCCCTAACAAAACTAACTAGATTACATGATGAATATCATCCAACTCCTCACCGACCAGCGAGCCTACGAAGGAATTACTCACTCCCCGTGGGGAGCTTCATGGAATTGGCGATGGACAAGGGTTGGTGATAACGAAGAACGAAGATCCCCCTCTCTGGAGCCCCAAACGGACTCCAGATCTGGCCTCCCGATGAAGAACAGGAGGTGACGGCGGCTTCGTCTCGTGGATCGTGATAATTCTTTCTCCCCGATTCTGGAAAAATAGGATTTTATAGCGTAGGTTTTGTGACGCCCGGATAATTAAGCTACAGTGATCCCACGCAAATGGTGCCACGTCACCACGGTTACTGCTGCTAATCTATCGTTAGATCAAAATCGGTCCAAAATTCAAATTCAAAGTTTGGTAAATAATAAAAGTTTTCAGACATTAAAATAAAAATGTTCAGTTTGTACTAAATATTACATAGATAAATATGGTGTAGTAAACATATTTTTATAAAAGGCCTAAATAATTTAAAATGATTTAAAACAGAAAAGTAGATAACAAAAAGAAAAAGGAAACAAAAGAAAGAAATGTAGAAAGCAGAAAAGTGGGGAAACCCTTTGGGAAAACTGGGCCTTGGCCCAGCTACGCTACCAGGCCGAACTCACCCCTGCTCCCCTGTTCCTTGTCGCCGTGGCTGTGGCCGATGCCCACCACGGCACCGGTCGGCGCCGTGGCGGCCATCCGCCGGCGCTCGCGGCCTACTTATCCACGGCCACCCCCAAACCCTAACCTTTTCCCCTGATCCCCCTTTCTCCTCGAGCCCGACGCCCGCCCGCGCCCCGGGCGCCCGACGCCGATGCCGTTCGTCCTCGCCGGAGTCGCCTCACCGCCACCGTCGCCCGTCTCCGCCATCGTCCCCATCTTCCCCCTCAACGGACTACTTCGCGCCTCGCTTGCCCCCGTTCGAATACAACACTGAGCTCGAGCCGGGAAGGACTTCACCGAGCAGATCGAGCGCGTCTTCATCCTTCGGTCGCCGACGTTCTTCCTCAAATCTGGCCATCCTGCGCTACTAACCTTTCGCCGGGCCGTCGTGTGCCTTCCCAGTGAGCTGCCGGTCTTCCCCCCTATTTTCCTTACACATGCATCGCCGTAGCCGCGCCTGTTCGCCTCAGTCGCCCTGAATCGGAGCTCTACTCACGCTCATGCTCACCCGCACCACGTCGCGCCCTCTGCCTCCAGTGCACGCACGCTAGCCTGTTGTCGCTCCCGCCCGCGTGCATTGCCGCTGCTGCCCTGCTGCTCGCCGCGGTCGTCGCCCTCACCCTCCCGCAGCCGCATCGGAGCTCTGCTCCTCCCGCGCCCACTCGCCGCCCGTGCCCCCTGCATCGCCACGCCCGCAGCCCCGCAGGGCGCCGCCGCCGCTCGCCGCCGCCTGCAGCCTCGCCTTGCCTCGCGGCCCCGCCACCACCGTCGTCTCGCGCTCGGCCGCCGCCAACCCCGCAGCCCGCGCCCCGTTCCGCCGCGACCGCTGTCGCCCCTGCCGCCCGTTAACTCGCCCGGCCCGTGCCCTTGTGCCACTGGCATATGGGACCCACCGGTCCCCTTTTCTAAAAAAATAATGTAAAAATAATAATTATAAAAATATAATTAATTAGTTAATTAATTAACTTAATTAAAATGGTTTATTAAGCTAATTACTTAGTTAGCATAACTAATCCCTAATTAGTTACATGTGAGTATGACAAGGGGCCCCACACCCTGTTGACCAGTCAAATGTTGATTGGTCAACTGGGATCCCTTGGCCCACCTGTCAGCCACTGGATGCACTTTTGTGTACCCTTTGCTGGGTGCCCATAGCGTTTTAATCATTATTTTCAAATAAATATTAATTACAGAATATTGTTTAAAATCTTTGAAAAATCGTAGAAATTAATCCGTAACTTGGATGAAAAAAATTTCAACATGAAAGTTGCTCAGAACGACGAGACGAATCCAGATACCCAGCCCGTTCGTCCGCCACACATCCCTAGCATAGCGAACACGCAACTTTCCCCCTCCGGTTCATCTGTCCGAAAATGCGAAACACCGGGAATACTTTCCCGGATATTTCCCCCCTTCCCCGGTATCATCTCTTACCGCGTTAGGGCACCCCTAGCACCGATACTTGTCATGTCATGCATCGCCATGCATTTGTTTGCATTATATTTATTGTTTCTTCCCCCTCTTCTCTCGCTAGACA